CCCCTCCCCAATTTATCCTAGGCCCCTTTAAAGGAAATTATGAGAACATACTAGAACCTTTCCTTCTTGTTCTGCTAATAAAAGCCATTCCATCGTTAAGAGAGGTTAATTATCAAGACTTATAATTATCTAGGGGGGGGGAATACTGAGAATGCTTTTGGAGCTTAGAGTGTGTGAATGACTGGCATTTTGAACTAGGTCACCACCTGGGGGCAGGCACTATCTGAATTGCTCTTACGTAGTTTTGAGTGAGGTACATTCTGTCTGTTGAGTTATATTTGTTTGTCTTAGGAGCAGTTTCAAAGCGATAAGTGTTTCAGCACTAGCTATAATCTGAAAAGTATTGAAGTGTCTCTTAAAATTATTTTAGCTATTCTGATAGCACAATTAAATTGAATTTAAGATTGCAATCTGAAGCTTGCTTACTTAAGTAGTAGGAAGCCTTTCCTACTGGATTCTTCATGCTGCATTTTGTAGTTTTAATATATATATATCTTGATGTATTTAGATTCTTCTGTTTGTTCTTTAGGAATATATGCCATACTGGGCTCAAGGTCTGAAGGTTTCTATGCAAAACCCAGACGTGCAGGTAAGGGTTTCATGTTACTTTCCTTCAAGATGGATAAGCATGAGGATATTAACATCATTGTAACTCTGATGCATTTTCTTCCCGGTTAGGTCTACAAGGACGAGCAAGCTGTAGTTATAAAGGATAAATATCCAAAAGCTCGCTATCATTGGTTAGTGCTGCCCTGGAAGTCCATTTCCACTTTATTTGCAGTAACTCATGAGCATCTTGAACTGTTGGAACATATGCACAGAGTTGGAAAAATGATAATCCAGCAGTGCCCAGAGAAAGACAGCCTGTGCTTCAGACTAGGCTACCATGCCATTCCCAGCATGAGGTAAGGCAGAACTAAGGTGTGCTCACCTTCTATCAAACATGCAATAGAAGAAACGCTGCCTTCTGGGCTGTATCTTTTGTTAGTGAAAATTGTTGTTTTAACACATTTTTAGTTGTTGTAGTGATATTAATCCTGGTTATCATTTCTGCTTCATTTTCTTAGCCAGCTACATCTTCATATCATTAGTCAAGACTTTGATTCTCCGTGGTTTAAAACCAAGAAGCATTGGAATTCTTTCACAACCGATTACTTCTTGGACTCTACGGGTAATAACCTAGGCTATTTTAATTTCTGTTCAAACTTGGGTTTCTTCCGATAACTTAAAATCAAAGTAATTTAATAGCTACTGCCCTGTTGGTTTAATAAAATTCCTGCACCAGTCCATAGAAAGCAAGTGGATAAGTAAAGTGCATTTAGTTTAACCCAAAAGAATTGAGATAAGGCAAACGTTTCTCCCAGTATGAGAGAAAAAGTACATGGAAAGTAAAAACATGGGAGAATTCAGCTTCCTTCCCTTGTAAGGACAAATTTCTTCCCTATATCTATTTGACAAGCCGAGACACAGTTAAACAAGTGTGGCCACTGCCTGGTTTGACTGGATTATAAGATTCTTTCAAAGCAAATTTTTGGACAACCCATTCATACCAAACATTGTAGGAATTGCTCCAGAAATACAGCCATTCTGTGGGTGCTAATTTTGGCATTAATGTAAAGAACCCTGGGACTGTGAGCTTGTTAACATTGCTGAAAATTAGGTCAAATGCCATGAATTCTCTCCTCCCAGTTTCTGAGGTTTGATCTAAAGTACCTTGAAAGAAAGTATTGGTAGCTGAAACCATTCATGTGGGGCAGCAGTTCTCAACCTATGGGTCGCGACCCCATTTGGGGTCGATCGACCATTTCACGGGGGTCGCCAAGCAAGGCTGTCCACCATTTTTTTTGTACGCCATTTTTTTCCCCTTTTCCAGCGGGTGCCTTACCTCCCTTGGGCTGGGCCAGCTGGTGGTCGGCCTGCTCCGTCTCTGCCGCTTGCCAGCTACGCCTCGGCCGGCGCAGGGGGCGGAACCACGCATGTGCGGCGCTCCCGGGCAGGGAAAGTCCTTGACTTACGACCGGTTGGGTAGTCCTCGACTTACAACTGGTTTAGTCCTCGACTTACGACCGGTTTAGTCCTCGACTTACGACCGGTTGGGGGTCGCAGCATTAAAAAGGTTGAGAACCACTGATGTGGGGTTTGGAGAGGGATGGATATGGCTGAAGCTATAATCCTAGATCCATTATGCCTCTCCCTCTTTTCCCCCTTCAGATGTGATAGCAATGGTAAAGAAGAAAGGAAAAGTAACTGTCGATAAGAACGCTACCCTACTTCTAACACTGCCTCTGAAGTGCCACGTGTGCAAAAGGCAACTACCGACTATTCCTCAGTTAAAAGAACACCTTAAAGAACATTGGCCCAAGTGACTCTAGGACTGGTTTCATTTATGCACCAGAGTTATCCTGAGTATTGGCTAAATTCAGTTCCAATGTTCATATGCAAATACTAATGCTATTGCCTTATGAAGTGTACCAAAATCTTGTCTACCTTAATGTGACCAACGCTATTTGTGGAGGGAAGTGACAGCTATGGATAGAAAGGATGTGGAAATGTAAAAGGGTTGTACAATGATGATGTACTTGTGCTTTTGCAGTGGAACCCTCACCCATGACATCTCTATGCCCTTCACGCTAAAGAATTTGTTATAATTAATGGGCCAACTAAAGTGAGCCCTGCTGTTGAATCTGTTATGTGGAAACTATGTTTTTTTTAACTTTGACGTGACGGAAGATAACTTTGCACTCGCATTCAGCATACTGTTCTACATTTCAAGCTGAACCTTGGCATTCATTTTCAAACCTGGCATGGGTAAGAGGAGAAAAATTAAAAATGTACTGTAGTGAGATTTGACTTGTAGCCTGAGCTATCAGGATAATGTTCCATCCTATGTTGGAGACATTTCTCTGCTTTCCCAATTTGATTTTCAGCTTTATCACTATACTGTTTCTAAGTGGACTGCTGTGGATATGCAGCAGGCATTACAATGTGAAATCTGAGTTCTTTAAAATATATATATATATGTATCACTTGAACTCCTGTGTTTATTTCATTAAGTGTACAAAGCAATACAAGCAAAGCAATGCCTATTAAATTCTACTCCTGCCTACATCCTGCATTTTTAAAAACGATTTCAAGGAGATACTATTTCTCTTCCACATACACCTCCCATGATAGCTTTGCAATTAAATAGCTCAGGTTGAAAGGGTCTAAGAAACCACTTCATCCAGCTAAATAAGAGTTTTTTGTTTTGTTTTTTAAAGGTCACTGTCTATTTTAATTATCTGTGTTGGTTGCAATCCTATGTGAAGCGATCTAGCAATCTCCCTAACCTCAGTTATTGAGTTTATTTCTGAGTAGGTATAAATGATATTTTACATTTAGGTATAATTCTGGAATTCATGCTTCTGTTCAATTCTGGGGTACCAGTCCGAGAAAAAGTTTGAATTCATGAGCAAAAAAAAAAAAATTCTATTGATATGGTTCCATGGGGCAAGCAAAACATATTTAAATATTACACATAAACAGAATATTGGAATAGATCCAACAATTCACCCTTTGAACAGGATCTACAAATTAGCTGGAATAGTTCTTAACCTCAGCAGATTGATATCCAAGCAATTCCATAACCTCATTGCTATTGTAGAAGCCTTTGGGAAACCCAGCTGAAAGTAAATCAAAACTACATAATGTGTAAAGCATGGTGTCAGCCCTTCATGGTAGGACTCCACAAGCAGGTGAGCTAGAGATGAAGACTGCAAAAACCCTTGCTGTGCCATTTTTTTGTGCTTCATCTCTTCCAAATGGCCATCTATTAACACATAATGTTGGGACAGCTCTTCTCAAAATTGTTTAATCAGAGCCAAAACATTCCACCTAACCTCTCTGGTAATTAATTGAAAAGTTGATGTGGATGCAGAAAATATGTTGATCTGCTTTTAGCTTGTTAACTCTCTTGATTACCTGTTGCTCTCTTAGCAGAATCATCAAAAGAAGCTCCAAGTCTGTGTGAAATTCTGGTAATTGTCCAATACTGGACCATTGCTTTCAATAATGGGCTTATCCCATTTGGCTGTCTCTTTCTGCAAACTCGGAACAAAAGTCATCTTGATGAGGAAGTTTTGTCATCCAACTCACTATAAACCATCTCAACATGAACCTATGAAAGTTAGAATTGATCCTGAGCTTTTCCAAAACTTTTCTGGCAAGCTCCCATGTCACTGTTGGTTGAAGTGCTAGCCACTATATCCTTGGTTGAGGCAAGCCTTGTCATGAATGCTGTGCTAGATGCAGCATGGGATTTTGCTTTGTAAATCCACGTTGGTATTACAATGTTGCAGCACGATGTTTAGCAGATGGTTGGGTGCCCTAGATTGGATGACATCTCTTTGATCAAAGACAAGTCTGCTTCTCCTAATTGGAGGTTTTCAAGACTGATGTCAATCCTTCAATGTAGACCAGGGCAGGAAACAGATTCCTCAAGATACTGGATCTCTAATCTACATCATAGTAACAGAATTTTGGAAACCTAACAGCATTTTCCCTTCCTCATATCGAAGCGAGCCAGTTTAAATTTATTTCTAGAATTATCTTCTTTCCTGGGCTTAAATTGTATTTGGCTAACTGCTGCATTCCTTCTCCAAGATCATATTTGTGCTTTGGTATGCCGGGCTTGTATAATTACTGAACCACAAATTTGAAATCATGTTTAGAATGTTGTGGATGTATGTATGGTTCGGTATAGGGTACAAATGTAACCTAAATAATCCTCTTTCTGGATCTTAAGGGTAGGTAAAATTGAATGTAGACAACCTATCCTTGAGGACAATCTTCTCCAAACTAATGCTCCCAGTTGTGCTGGAAGTACTGCTCAAAGAATTCCCATTATGATGTCACAGTGCTTGCTGTTGGTATCATCAGCACTCCACATCATGTCCATTCCTGCCATTTGAAATGGTGGTCAGTACATGGAGAGTAGGCATATATGACCATCAGGAAATAAAATGTCAAGCAGAGGGAGTGCAAGCTCTGGCTCTCTGCCATCAAAGAAAGGACCAGCAGTCAAGCCGAGCACCAAATTTAGAGAAGAGGGAGAGTCAACTCCAAGGAGAATAGTAAAGGAGACAAGAGCTGTCGTCATAGATATTGGTACCGGCTCCTGCAAATGTGGATTTGCTGGAGAACAAAAGCCAAGCCATGTGATTTCATCTACTGTAGGCAAGCATATCCAGGAGACAGCAAAAACTGGAGATAACAGGAAGGAAACTTTTGTTGGAAGAGAACTTCAGGAAGCTACAGTACCCTTAAAACTTGTCAATCCTTTAAGACATGGAATAATAGTGGACTGGGATTCTGTTCAAGATATGTGGGAATATCTTTTCCTTAGGGAGATGAGGATTCGACCCGAAGAGCATGCTGTCCTAGTGTCGGATCCTCCTCTAAGCCCTACTACCAACAGAGAAAAATATGCAGAAATGCTCTTTGAAACCTTTTGCACTCCTGCTATGCACATTGCCTACCAGTCAAGACTGTCAATGTATTCCTATGGAAAGACCTCAGGTCTCGTTGTGGAGAGTGGTCATGGTGTCTCCTATGTAGTTCCCATCTACGAAGGATACACCATGCCAAACATTACTGAAAGAGTAGACTATGCTGGATTCGATGTCACTCAGTACCTAATGAATTTAATAAATGAGAATATAAAATTGTTCACAGAGAAAGACTGGAGTATCTTAGAGGACATCAAAGAAAACTATTGTTTCACTTCACTGGATTATCAACATGATGCAGCCACAGCTCCCAGGAAACATGAGATTGAATATCAGTTGCCTGATGGGCAAGTTATCATTATTGGCAAAGAGAGATTCTTATGTGCTGAAATGCTCTTTAAGCCATCCTTGATAAATTCACAGCAATTGGGACTTCCTCTCCTGACAATGACTTCCCTCAACAAGTGTGACGTCACCCTAAAAAAGAACCTGATGGGCAACATCTTGTTATGTGGGGGCTGCACCACGCTAAAGGGCTTTGCTGACCGCTTCCAGAGAGAGCTGATTAGAATGTGCCCAAATGATAATCCCATTTCATCAGCTTCTCCGGAAAGAAAAACATCTGTCTGGACCGGAGGCTCCATTCTTGCATCTCTCAAGGCTTTCCAACAGCTCTGGGTTCATAGAAGAGAATATGAAGAAAAGGGTCCTTTTTACATCTACCGGAAATGTTTCTAAATCCCCAACGGGAATCTCCTCACCTAGAACAATTGGATGAAGGTTGGTTGAAGAAGAGGACATACTTCCCCTGCTACCCCCGTAATACCAATCTGAATGTTATATGGTCTGGGTGACATTCTGTTCTCTGTGTATTAAAAACTCATTGCTGTAACAGCCAAAGATAAGTATTCCTTTTTTGGGTGCAAGTAACAACAAAAAGCAGAGAAGATTAGTGCATCAAGGAAACCTTCCAATTAGATCAGGCATGTCAAACTGCTGCCCCCCCTGGCAGGCCGGATGCGTCACGCCGAAACCGCGCCCACCCTATTGCCGGCAATGGGGAAAAAGTCCCGATACGTCGCGCGACGTCATGTGACGTTGCGAGTTTGACATGCCTGAATTAGATGATCTAGGCGGAGAGCCAGCAACTGCACTTCTTCATTCATTCATCCCAGAGTAAGCTTCACTGAACTGAACCGAACTGTCTTGAATAAATTAGGATTGTACATTTGCTATATGTATTCCTGAAAATCAGTGTCTATCTTACCAAAGGAAAAAAAAAAAGCAGTAGAATAGACAACTGGAGTTTTACTTCCCAGAGGGATTGCTCTAAGTAGTCTTGCAAATAATAATAATAATAATAATAATAATAATAATAATAATAATAATAATAATAATAATAATAATGATAATGATGATGTAGCACCTTAAAATACCAATATATCTCATGAATTTCAGTAGTGTGGTTTCTGCAGAATTGTTAAGCCTCATCCTTGCGCTAGCTCAGTGATGGCGAACCTATGACACGGGTTCCAAAGGCGGCACTCAGAGCCCTCTCTGTGGGCACACGCGCCATCGCCCTAGTCCTAGGCCTTCAGCTGGGTTTTATAAAACCTTTTCGCTTTAGGCCTCCGCTGCCGTGTGCAAAAAAAAAGGTTCAATCTATCAGTCAATTTCAACTTCTCACAGGAAAAAAAAAGATCTTGCAAATTTGGAATTGATTGATTGAACTTTTTAGTCCCACCCAGTCTACTGTTACCACCGCAGCCACGCCCACCCAATGGGCCACACCCCAATTGGCCACACCCAGCCAATGGGCCACACCTAGCCAATGGGCCACAGCCAGCCAATGGGCCACACCCACCCGGCACCCGACGATGCATAATTTGGGCACTCGGTCTCTAAAAGGTTCGCCATCACTGCGCTAGCTGTATGCTTTTAACTATATCCCAGCAACTTTAACAGCTGTGAGATTTCTTTTAAAAATAAAGTCAGATTTTCAATGGCAAACGTACATGTTGGCCATGCATAAATCTTCTTTAGAGGTTGCAGAGTTATGAAATTGCAATCCACGATATTTGTAATATGCACCCTTTATTCAAAATACAAATAGGCAGTGATTAATATTCCCACACGAACATGTCTGCTCATATATCGGATTCAGTCACTGGAAACTCTGTTTCCAGAAAAGGACCGTGTACTCAGTAAGTGTTCCAGTATTTTATGAGTCTCACTATGTAGAAAATCAAAGGTGAGAGATTCAAAGAAAAACGTTACAACAAAACTTTATTAACCCCCGACTTTCTCCTTTGTTCTCAGAAAAAGAATGTTCCATCAATATTCAATTTGTCAAAACAGGGTTTAATATATTAATAAAAATCTTATAGTGAGTTGTATATCTTTAAAAAAAATCCCTAAAAAATTAAAGTGCTCCAAAGATCAGATATTAAACTGCAAAAAAGAGTTTGGAGAGTTCAAAGCAACATATTAAAAATAATTTACAATAACAAGCTGAGTGGTTGCTATCTGGTTATAAAGACTATGTTGGGAGAAAAAAAGTGGAAGGAAGCCCATGATCAGACATACACAGGGGCAAGGTGAATTTACACTGCTTTGTGAGCCAATTCATCCTTCACTTAAAGGATACATGATGAGAAACAGTACTTAAATGCAGGTAGCCCTCACTCAATAACCACTCGTTCAGTGGTGCTGAACAAGGACTTATGACTAGTCCTCATGGTTATGGCCATTGCAGCATTCTTGTGGTCACATGATTACAATTTGGGTGCTTAGCAATCAACTCGCAGTTATGACATTGCAGGGTCCTACAGAATTTGCAACGTTCTCTGCCAGCTTCTGGTTAGCAAAGTCAATGCAGGAGGTTACAAATAGTGATTACATGACCACAGGATGCTGTGACAATGCAGGATTCACCTAATGATGGAAACTGGGACTGCTGGAACTGCTGTTGTAAGTTGGCATGGTCAACTGACATCACACCCTGTGACTGCATCGCTTAGTGATGGAGTTCCTGGTCCCAACTGTTGGTAAGTGAGGACTACCTGTACAGAGATCTTCATCCCGACAATAGCTGTGGAACTGAGTTTATTGGAGAAGAGTAAGCTTCCACTGAGTGTTTTTGTTGAGTTTGGGAGCAACAAAGACCTCTGGATCTAAGAGAAAGAAAAAGCAAGAGATAATCCTACAAATAAGATAAGCAAACAAACAAGCAAAAGGAACAGATATTACAGTATACTTATGTAAACATTCTGACAAAAAAAATTAGCAAAACCTCACAAATGAGATAAAAAGAAACGTACCACTGTGAAAATAGTCCTATGCTTTGTCTGCTACTTGAAATCAATGAAGAATAAACTAAAATTTTATTCCTTTGCTACCTAAAACAGCAAGCTCAATTCTGAGCTTTCCTAAATGGCATGCTTCATGGTACCAAATCTAGGGACTGGGTTCAAAACTCGAATGCTAGACCCTGGGCGAGGCGCATAAGTAAGCAAGGAAGGGTTTTGCTCAATTTCTAAAGTTCGCAATCTCCCTCCGTACTTCATAAAGTAATCTTTCTTGCAAGTGGGGGACAAGTTTTATTTTTTGATCAGTTTTTGGCAGCTGAGAATTACAAAAAGCCGGAATGATCAGCCCACAAGTGAGCCGTATTTGAAGAGCTGATGATAATATTTCATTTGTATGCTGCTCAGTCACTGCTGTGAAATAGAAAGTTCAATAAATAATTTAAATAAATTTGGTTTCCAATTCCATTTCATATTGTAAATGGGCAAAATCAACTTTTTTTCATGGTAAGTTAATATTAGGACAGTAACAGGTTCCATGCAACACACACGCACATTTAAATTGTAATTAATTTGTAAACTACATGATCTGTCTTACCGCGTACTATAGGAGCCATCACTTTCTGTTGTGTATAGGCAGCACTTATGCTATTAGCAGTGGAATTGGGACCCAGGATCTAAAATTGCAAGGAATTAGTAACATGTTGATTTATTTAGAATAACAATACCAGAAAACCATCATTTTCCCTATGGAACAAACAGGAGAATTATAACCTGATTTTGTTTCCCAACCCACTCTTGCACCTGCTTTGAATTTACAAGTAGTCCTTGATTCATGACGGCAATTGGGACCATGCTTAAAGTGATAGTCATATAAGGTGACTGTGTTGTTAATAACAAAAAACCCTGCGTCCCAGTAGCTGTCATTAATTAAATCCCATTGTTGTTAGGTGAGGCAACGTCTGGTTGACTTTCCACAACCAAAGTCAGTGAAGAAGCTGACAGGAAGTTGTAAGTCCCAGGTCAGTGGGCGGGTCAGTGGGGGAGGAAGCGAGAGGGTGTGTAGGGGAAGATCAATGAGGGTGCGCAAGAGTTCAAGGGAAGTGCAAGAGGTGTGGCATGGGTGGATGAGGGGTGTGCCAAGTGCCCGGATTGTGATCATATGACATAGAGATGCTGGGACAGGCAGAACCTCAAGCATCATTTGTTCAGCACCATCATAATTTTGAACGGTTGCTAAACAAATCAAGGACTACCTACCCTCATATATACATCATCTTCCTGGCAGTAACAGATTTCTTGACACAAACCCGTGAAATGGCATTCCCTTAAAAAGAAATTAGGTAAATAAAATTGCTATATACTGGGCTGTACAGCACATTATTGATAGCTGGGTCTTACCCTTAATAAATTCAACTCCCACAACAACCCATTATCAGGTACAGCCATGATTTTTTTTAAAAATAAAATGCAATGAGAGTAAAGAACCTAAACTGGTACCATATCTTCCCTAGTCCAGGGGTAGGCAACCTTGGCTCTTTTATGATTCGTGGACTTCAACTCCCAGAATTCCTGAGCCAGTATGGCTCACCTTGGAAACCTCTCCCTTTCCCCTCAGCATGGCTGGCTCAGGAATTCTGGGAGTTGAAGTCCATGAGTCATAAAAGAGCCAAGGTTGCCTACCCCTGCCCTAGGCCAAAGTAGTGGCATATGCAGTTGCACCATAAGCTCTTCCCATTTTGTACATGCATGCAATATCACAGTGCATATCCAGAGTAAAGCAGGCAACTTGATGCTGGTTTTGTCGTTTGCCTCCTCTTGACCTTCCCTCCCCCCCTCATGGATACACTCCTGGTGAATACTTTTGCTGCATCTGATTTTTCTTCAAATAAAGCGATCTCCTTAAGAACGCTTTTTTTTCAAAACGAAACAGTGTAAATACAGTGCGCCAGTGAGAGTACCAAGGGGGCACACACTGGAATTCATGTCTTACTGGGTTGGCTGGGATGTGCTGCAAGTCTGGGCTCCAGATTTCAAGCAGGGAGCTCTCCATCAAGTGAAGGGTATCCTCAAAGGCCTGTTGCAATTCCCGGGCTTGCTCATCATAGCTATACAGGACTAGGTGCCTTAAAATACTGTGTATCTCACCTTGGGGAGAAAAAAAGATCTCACTCTAATAAGTTTAAAATGCATTTTAAAAGGGTACACAAAGAAAATAAACCTCTTTCTTCCATGCCCTCTAGGTTGAAAATAATGACACACACCCCCTTTCAGGGATATAGGCATAAGCTGTATCTATCCGGTCAAACTCACTGATTTCAGAACAACAGTCCTGGAGATTGCTGTAGGGCTTGGTTCCTCTAGAGACATTCTGGAAAGTGTATTTAGAAATGTCCTACATTCTAAAAATAACACTATCGGCTGACAGGGCTA